TATATATATAAATTATCAAAGAAAGGTAAATACAGTGTTCTAATAAAGGACATAATAATGTAGTCCTGTAAATAAATGAATAAAGAAATTGTGTAATAAAATGCCTCTCGCGGGACTCCAACCTGCGACCTCTCGCTGTCAAGGCGAGCGTCATAACCATTAGACCACGGAGGCTTCATGGTTAAACAGATTCAAATACCACCAGATACACTCCATTACACAATAAGTACGGCTAGAAACAAATAATAGCATACACTGAAATAAATCAAGGTAGCCGTTAACACTGTTAAATTATATACATAAATCATCAAAGAAAGGTAAATACAGTGTTCTAATAAAGGACATAATAATACATCGTGTAGCTTAGCTCGCAACGAATGTAGTCCTGTAAATAAATGAATAAAGAAATTGTGTAATAAAATGCCTCTGGCGGGACTTTTTTATTAAATATTATAGGCTTGTTGACAATTTGTTCTTTTATAATTAATTAAAGGTTTAGTTATATTATATTATATTATACAGTATTATATTATATTATATTATTTTATATTATATATATGTATATATATATGTATATATATATATATATACATATATACATACATATATGTATATATATACATATTACAGGTAAAAGGTACTTAAGTAATAATATTATACATTGGTGTTCCGTATAGCGCGTAGGCCTATCATCTTTTATCACAATTACTGAATTTTGATATTAGATAATGATAAATATACAAATAATTGATATTCATAAAAATAATTATACTATTAATAATAATTATAACAATAATGTGAATGTTATTTTAATTCGTTCGTTTTACTGTTGATGTCTTGTCTTTTTATATGAATTTATTTTATATCTTATAATGTATACGAATTTGACGAACAATCAATTTCCCTTTGTAGATCAATAAAGTTTTCTTATTTTATAGGCCTATTATGTAATAAAAATGAATAATATTTTCAACTGGAATTACTTATACTAATACTGAGGCCTATTATTTAAGCATATTACTGTATCGTACTGATACTTAATTCAGTAAATTTATCTCCGGGTGTACCCTTTGCAGCTCGGAACTCGGATTCTCTGCTAATATTATATTAATACTGTATTGTCCATGGTAGGCCACTTCGTAAGTAGGTCTTTCGTTATAAGTACAACTGCCCATCAATGATATCAGCTGAGACCACCGAGAAGGCCTGATTGCCTCCCAATAGGTTTAGTACAAGAATAATGTTTGGATAGCTAGCTAGTCACATCTGATCTGCAGACCGCATAACCGGTGTCGCGTCAAGTTGGGTACGGACGTGGTTGGCCGCATGGCGTGTTCCACTGTGGGGAGTCGGAGCTTAGTCGACGTTTAGCACTTGGATCAGGCTACGGGTCTGTTTTGCTAAAACGGATGCAATCACTTCTGGTTTTGTTAACACTTGGAAGTCATAATACATGGCTTAATCTGTAAACACACGTAAACGTCAATCAATTCGTTTTATGGTCTTGTTTTTGACGAGCATACGTCTACTTAAAGTTTGACATCAAACACATATAGGCCTATAAGTTACACCATGTTTATTATTTTATTATCAATATAATTAGTAAATACAACATAGGCCTACCTTCCAAATTCCTAACTTTGATTAATCTAGTTATCACTCGCCCTCACAGCTCATTTGCAGGGGTCCCAAGTTGGAAGACGTCATTTCCGGGAGATTTGCAGTGGCAGATCCAATAATTCGAAATAGAGCAGGAGCCGATCCAGAATTTTTCAAATTGGGAACAACATTTTCAGAATAGATAAGTGAGTAGCGCTAATTTAAATACGCGCTGATATACAATGTTGAAATTTTAAAATTTAATGGCAAAACGGGAGTGGGGGCACGTGCTCCCATACTGGATCCGCACCTGTAGAGGGGGACCAGGGATAGACTTCACTGGCGGAAAGTATATACCACCTCAGCCCACTATGGTTGGGGCGGAGGTAAGAAAATTTATGATTATGGCCGGAAATAGCACTATAGACATATTTGAATGAGTTACTTTTTCTCTCCATTTTATTTATTATAATAATTAAAAATTTAGTGGGCGGCGGGGGCGGCTTCCCCCTTGAATTCGTCACGGGGTTGCGATTTATAAGAATTTACAGTACTGATCAAACTTTTACCTACAGGAATACGATCAATCGATCAATCAGTTAATCAATTTATCGATCGAATGAGTAGAACCTCCATCGCAATATAGTTCTTTAATTTTAGAATAATGCTCGTTGACGTTACTGCTACACTAATGTACCGGTAGCCTAAGACAATCAATCAATCAATCAATCAATCAATCAATCAATCAATCAATCAATCAATCAATCAATCAATCAATCAGTCGAGATCCACTTTTGATACGGTACAATGGCACTCATATTAAAGGATACTTGGTGCAGCCATATGTAAAGAAACATACCAAAATAAAATGCATAGGCCTATAGATACAAAAATTACAAAATACAAAGTAAAACTGAGTACAAAGAGGTAAAATTGCAAAGGGTCTAAACTTACACTACTTTAAACAGTCAGCATATTGTGGACTACATCCAAGAAAATAGAAATCAGAAATATACTGTCTTATATTCATATCTACAAATACTATGTTTACAGCAACATATAGGCATTGATTTTATATTGACCCATACCATGGCATATAATATTATGGGCTAAATTACTATTTCTAAACATTTTACCAGGTCATAGGTAGATAGAGTTGAATTGCTCGATTCATTATGAAGTTGTTCTTTAGCGATAGGTATATTTATGACCTACCGTAGTTTGGCCCACATATGCCTAAGAGTCGTAATTATCTTGAGGGGATTTTGAGTATCGTACCGTCCACATCTAGCCTATTTATTTAAAAGCGTGTTTTTAAAACTTCGCTTTTTCATGAGCTTAATTGTATCAAGTAATCATTCATTCGTTTTCTTTATTAGTCATTTTCACATCACTCTGATTTAATATTTGGTGAAGAGAAGGCCTCTGCGCATCCATATCGATAGGTGGAAAATAGAAAGAAAACTAAAATTGCATAAGCCTAGATGGATATCAGACGAATGAAATGACAAACTAAAATGATGTTTTAGTATAATTGGCCATACAACTTTAGAAAACTTCGCCTTAAAGGTAGGCCTATAGAGACTACAGAGAGTTGAGCTACTCCTCCAATCCTACTGTATAGTCGATGACCAAAGTGTAGAAGGTTGCCCAGTCAACTTTATGCTGAATTCAGAACATTATAGGCCTAATAATTGTTTGTAGTAGTCCCATACTAATTTGCGGTTGATAAACTAAAGCGGCATTACTGAATAATGCGTTACTGCTATTTATTAGCTGATTTTGTGATGACTACTGTTTATAAATTATCCCGTTTATGGTTTACGATGTCTTACAGACAACAGGAACATTCATAAAATACTCGCCATCTCGGAAGTAGTTGTTTTATTATCGCCAAGGAAAAACGTGAAGACGTCTTTTAATTTATCGTAAGAGTTAATAAAAGTAGAACCCAATTATGTTCTTTGTTGATATAATCATAGTTTGAGTCCAGATGAGCACTTTTACTTAGAAATTGGCCTATCGGTTCATTTGGAGTCGGCGCGGTGGGTAGGTAGTCAAAATAAAAGTAACATTTATTGATCAAAATAAAATTGAAATCGCATAGGCCTAGTAGGATATTGGTTGTAAAGTTCTGGGTGCTTATATTGTCTGAACTTTGTTAAGTATTGTTACTAGTCATTGAATGATGTACATTATATTATGTTATTTTAACACGAGAACTGAATTCTTGAACATTATCCAAGCCGGTTTGTCTACGAGACATCGAACCACAGTCACCATAAACATATTAAAAGGTCCGATTTGAAATTGTGAAATGGGTAAACGTGGCTGCATTTCTTTCCCTCTTCATTCAGCCCCATTCTTTGATTTCGGATTTAACTTGGTCATTGAACAAACAACTCCGTCCAAAATAGTTGACCCACCATGTTGTCAAAACCCCGAAAATATTACGTATTTACTGACGGTACGACCATGACCAATGACTCTTGATCCTATCAACGACCTTGAAAACCAGGTGTTCTCAAATGATGACGTGAATATTTTCTTCTGTAAACATATCAAAACTCTAATTAACATCAAAACTCAAGTTATTGCTAATTGCCAGGTTGTACCGGTACCGGTTCTCGCTCTATTGATCACTTGCATTGCAAGATTCTTTATTCTTGTTCTTTGCCTCAGACGAGTTCTTTACGGTGTCGACACTCAACATTGGGGGAAGGGGTTGATTAAGCTGGAAAGTTCTAGGCAGTTTTGTATAAAATGCGAAATATATAAATGTGTGAAAAGTTTTCGAGCCCGTTATCATGTACTACCTAATGTAGACGCCAAGCGTACCGGGGCTTTCGTTGGAAACAATTGATTTAACACTTCACGTTTACAACACTAGTATTCGACGCATAAGTGAATAAGAGATTAATTAAATCTTAATCAAGATAGGATACATTAAATGCTACACTTAGGGACCCTGTAGCGACACTAAACTAAAATGTCTTGTAGTACCGTATTGTTTTCTATTTTCATAGATATTTATGTGCCAATAGCTATTATTGAGCTGCCATCAGTTCTCTCCTCTCGACGTAAAACCTTGCTTTCAGATAGTTCTTATAAATAATTTCTTCCTTTGTCACTCCCCTTAACATTAACTCTGCTACTCATTCGATCTGTTTTGCAATTTATATATTTAAATTTAAGCATCATTCTTCAAACAGTATAAATAGGCTTACCGCTAATCTTTGTTGTGCATGTTATGCAGATAATAATATACTTTTGTAGTTGCTTATGATGCAAATGTTGATTGAATATAAGCAAATAGACATCTCAGATCAGTGTGAACGCCCAAGAATTTTGACATACAAAAAACACTCAAAACGCATATTGATCTACAACGCCTAAAGCAGTATTGATGGCTAGGCCGTTTATTCCTTTACAAGAATCACCTTAAACATTTGTCTTGAAAATGATCTATGAAACAAGAAAGTCAAAATTTGCATTTGCATTCAAGTATATATTCCGAGTATTGAAGAAGTATAAAACATTGTGACAAATATTGTCTATCAAATACAAAACATAGAAAAAATACAGCTGACTTTGCAAATAATATCTCACACTAAAAGTACAGTTGGCCTGCTGGCTACTTCAAGAGGAGAGCCCCTCTACAATAGATCTTCTACTTTTGGGCAATCCTGCCACATGACAACAATTACTATTTTTGAAATTTTATATTTGTATATTTTATATATTTATATCTATTTGGCGAAATAAATGAAAGCTTCCGTAGCTTTTAATAGTTTTGATGATCCATTGTGGCGGACACAAAAGTTATCTTAATTTTAAATTATTCTGGTAAAGAGAGAATAATTTTTTTTAAATGTTTGTCTGAGAAGTAGAATTTGGATTTACAAATTATAATTTTTAGGACATGATTGTTAGGATGTTATTCAGATTTAAACCATGATCGAAAATTAAAATAATAAACTACAAAACATATTCTTAGTTATAAACTGACAAAATAACACACACATAAATGACATTTCAACCCTAATCCTCCCGCAATTTACAAATAAATTCTTATCAAATTTTAAAAATATTTACTTTACGGAGACCAGGATTACGACAAGTCTTAGATGATGACATTCTATTATAAATTTCCTTCTCTTAGCTGCATTGGGAATGTACAAATTTTATTTAAAGTGTTTTAGGGTCGTGTGAGAGAAACTAGAGTAAAAACATTAGACTGCTTAATGCATGTACCCTGTGAAACATTGCATCTATAACCATTAGGACAACAATTCTCTCCATCTGAACAACACACCGCCTGAAACAAAACGAAAAGAAATCAGTAGCAGGAAATTAAAAGCTTCTATTATCAATTTTGGGGATTCACAAGCGTAATTTATGAACATACCAAAGATCTTATAAACACAAGATAGCATTCTCCGTGATTTACGCGTAACAAATAGAAGCATCGATTTGGCACAGAAAAGTATCAGTTTTGCGAGAGGGCGTCCTAGTCGTTGCCATGGATCTGAGATAGGGTGTTTAAGTATTAAGCCTATTCAAAAAGGGCAGCAGGTAAATAAAAAGCATTATTCATTAGATGTTATTTCAAATACAAGTTAAAATGAGTTATACCTTTGGTAGAGGGCAGCAGAGCCATGAACCTGAATTTGACTGACAACAAGTGTTATCATTTGGGCATTGTGATCTGCCATCAGGACAAATGATCGCATTATCGATAGGCCTAGAACCAGTTTTTGTATACCAAGGTACACTAATGTCACCATTAAGGCATTTCCCTTCACTAGTGTCACAGGTTTGACCTTCCGGGCAACAATGGAGTTTATCACTACAGCATACAGCCTTTAGAAGAAATAAAAAATAATAATTGTTGTGGCCAAAAAAATTGTTTTAAATATATCTAAATCATATGCAACATCCACAGGAAGTTTCACATGCAATAAATAGTAATGCCGTTCAAAACTAGACAAACATTAAAATTCGCAGTGTTTATTATAAATGGTGGCATTGTTGTTTTGGCCAATTTTATAATGCATAAATTATCAACAGATAAATCGTGAATTAATGCACTCCTATGGAGGTAAAATGAAGATATTATTTAGAGTAAAACACTATGTAAGTTCTGTTGGTATTGAAATAAAATATAAGTAAAATAAAACTTCACATTCGACTATCAACCTGAAAGTCAGGAGTATACTATAGCATACAAAAAGGTTGCAAACAAACAAAACCTATTCATGGTAACCATGGCAACCATGGTATTCATGGTAACCAGAAGATTTCCGTGGGGGGCACGACCAGAATATTTAAAACATTATTGAAGTAGGCCTATATTTTAGACAGATTACATATCATTACCGGGTAGCTCAGACATGAAGAGGCGCTTAGGGGAGAAGCAAGTATGAGCTAGTCCACACCTGCTGCGCTTTGAGACGGTTTCAGTATAAAGAGCAACATAACTACAATGCAACTAAATTATACCTGTTTCATAGAGATGTACTCTTATTTTGAGTAACAAAATTGACATGAAAAGTTGTATACAAGAATCTTATTTTTACCTTTTTTAAAGGACAACATCCATAGTCACCATTTGCAAGTTTACAACAAGTATTGCCATCGTCGCATTCTGCACGTCCACCAGGACATATCACTGACTGGACAGTTGCAGGTTGTTTGGCCATCCAAGGTACAGTGATGGCACCACGTGAACATGACCCTGAAACGACGTCACAAGTGTATCCAGATGGGCAACAATGCAGACCATCACTGCAGCACTCAGCCTAATCAAAATCGGAAGATAGCAATTATTACAGTAGAAACACTTTTGGTTTCATTATGATCTAAAGGTATTAAAATTCAGATTGAGAACAACTTACATTTGGCATTGGGCAGCATCCATATTGTCCATTACTCATTTTACAGCAAGTATTGCCATCTGGACATTCAGACTGACCATCAGGACACATTACAGACTTTAACTGGTTTGCTGGAACTTTTTCGAACCAAGGTGTGCGGATATTTCCATGAATACATCCAGGTGTAGCATCATCACAAGTGTTATCTTTTGGGCAACAATGAATTCCATCTTCACAGCAAACCGCCTGTAATAAATAGAGTAAGTTGCTAATTATTTGTTATTTATTATATATATATAGTAGTGGCTTCCCTATAGGATAGTATGCTGTTTTACCTGGTCAACATGCAGTGTTGCTGCCATATTAGCACAGCAACAGTCAAATCCCACCAGGTACCCATTTATACTTTTTGCTAAAGAGAAGCAACATTAATAATGTGTCTTGCACAAAGAAAGCGAAGGATTGAGACCCCGATCTCGAGGTTGGGAACCGAATTTTTTTGAAGCATTGCTATTTTTGCTTGGAACAGCAACCATGATCTATAATGCATCGCATTAAGTGACAAAAGCAAATGGATCATGTGTAATTTGAACTATACATTTTAATAATAAATGAAGTAATTAAATTAAATTCTTGAATAATAAATGAATGTCTCAAATATCTTGGGCAATAATGTTAACTTGCATAATTTAATGTTTTATTACTTGTATTTAGATGTGTTTTATGTTACTGAAAAATCAAATTTTTGCATAGGTAAAAGGTAGGAGAATAACCCATAACTCGCAGCATAACGGTGCTGAATTGTGTATGGGCATGGTGACTACCCAGCTGCTGTAAAGGTGATCATAGTAGCTTCTTGTTCAGCTCTACTCTTCTGAAAGATGCAATAAATAGGTTCTTTAAAGTGTACGCGAGCCAGATTTGTACACTAGACCTATTTTTAAGTTCTTATCAAGCTCAAACCAGTGTCGATTTTAAGGCTGATGTTGGTGGTGCTCCGGCCTTAACGCTCGCTCGGCCATGAGACTTGTATATTATTCGACATGCATTACGGTAAAGATCAACTTATAATTTGAACTTACATCTGGTAATGGACAGCATCCCCACACACCAGTGGACATCTTGCAGCAAGTGTAGCCATCAGAACATCTTGAATGACCATCAGGGCACAAAGGACTCTCATAGCTTAAAATATTGTTCACAAACGTTGCTTCAGTCTTCTCTACCCATGGGAGTGTGAGGGCGCCCTTTGTACATGTTCCTGCACTGGTGTCGCAGGTGTAGCCACTTGGACAACAATGGAGACCATCACTGCAACACACAGCCTACAAGATGAAAAGGTATAAAAACAATCAGAGCAAAATTTGTTTAATGGGTTATCTTAAATGGTACTAGATCAGGGGTGGAAAAAGTTCTTTTGAAAATGCGAGGAAGGCAGTAGTTATGTAATCTACTCTGAAAGTGACAACTTACATTTGGCATTGGGCAGCATCCATATTGTCCACTACTCAATTTACAGCAAGTATTGCCATCTGGACATTCAGACTGACCATCGGGACACATTACAGACTCCAATTTGACAATTTTAGCTTCAGTCTTCTCTACCCATGGGAGTGTGAGGGCGCCCTTTGTACATGTTCCTGCACTGGTGTCGCAGGTGTAGCCACTTGGACAACAATGGAGTCCATCACTGCAACACACAGCCTGTAATTCAAGAAAGAAAATTAAGTCTTAAAATAATTTTAAAAATGTATTTATTTCTTAGGAATTATTTGGAAAGTATTTACAGTACTGAAAAAAGAAAGCAGTACAAGATTACATTTGGCAATGGACAATTAGTTTAATGGGTTAAATGTTAAATTGGACTAGATCAGGCAGATAATGCTTTTGAATGTATACAGTATTTTATATGATGTGACCAAATTCTCCTGGTTTGAGGGAGCAAGTGACCTGGGCAATCCAGCAGAACAGGCTGTCCAGAGAACAGATGGTAAATCTGGGAAAGACAGTAGTAAAGCAGCAGAGTGGACTATAAAGCAAGGGGAGCAGACAATAAAGCAAGGGTTTCATTTGAAACTAAATTCTACAGTACTGATTGCGGGCAGTGCACTTTCCTTTTGACGCCGGGCCAATGGGCAAACTGTGGAAAGTGAGACGCGGGCAATACCAGCCTGAGATGGTCGTAGGCTAGATTTTCTAATTAAAAATTGTACCAAAATATATTAAGAAATCGGAAAATAATTTATGTATGCTGTGTAGAACAATTAGGTTTTTCTACAATATGTTCATTTTAAGCATACCTTTGTATTGACCTACCTGTGTGTATTGACATGACGTATCGATATAATATATAGGTAGGCCTACATAAATAATAATCTTAGTGATCTAATTAATGTTAATTTGTCTGGTGATGGATGATCATGTTGACTCTAATACAAAGTTACCTTGGCCCATCTGAAATTGTAAACTTGGGTTACAATTAGAAACCAAGAATGCTTTCGTACAAAATGTCCCTGCATATCGTGTGCCAGTGAGCCTCACAGGCTTTAAAGTCAGCCTCCGGAGGAAGAAAAAAAAAAATGTATATGTTGTAGAATGGGTGTAACCGCCCGTTTTCCAACTTTTCCCCATTTTTAAATATTCAAAAATCTGTATCTCATTTACCTTTCCCAAGATTGTTATCAAACAACTTTTTTCTGTCCTAGAAAAATCAGTTCTACAACATATCAACAAATTTTGTTCCTCCAGAGTCTGACTTTGAATCAATAATGTTTTTTTCTACAATTTTCACTGTGAGACGCCTTTGCCTGCTTGGGCAGTTGGTGGATGCGGAAGACTATGCCCAGAGGCAAAGTGCGGGCAAAAAGCACCCACTGCTAGTCATCGGTACTGTATACATGTATGGATATCATTCCAAATTATACATTAATGCAAAACATTTACATTTGGCATTGGGCAGCATCCATATTGTCCACTACTCAGTTTACAGCAAGTATTGCCATCTGGACATTCAGACTGACCATCAGGACACATTACAGACTCCAACTGGATAGTCTTAGCGTCAGTCTTTTCTACCCATGGAAGAGTGAGGGCGCCCTTTGTACATGTTCCTGCACTGGTGTCGCAGCTGTAGCCACTGGGACAACAGTGGAGTCCATCACTGCAACACACAGCCTACAAGATGAAAAGGTATAAAAACAATCAGAACAAAATTTGTTTAATGGGTTATCTTAAATGGTACTAGATCAGGGGTGGAAAAAGTTCTTTTGAAAATGCGAGGAAGGCAGTAGTTATGTAATCTACTCTGAAAGTGACAACTTACATTTGGCATTGGGCAGCATCCATATTGTCCACTACTCAGTTTACAGCAAGTATTGCCATCTGGACATTCAGACTGACCATCGGGACACATTACAG